ACTTGGGATCAGTAATGTTAGAGGTTGAGCAAGAGCCTACAGGAAAAATGACTTCTATTGGAGCAAGAAGTTTCCTCCAAGAAGCCCATTAGAGGAATCAGACCCCAATTTCAAGTGGAAAACTGCACTGCACACTACAAAATGACTTTTGCATAGATGTCTGTTTTCTTTTTTACTTCCTTTCAGACAGCCAATGGTTTTTGAAGCCAGCATGTCATACTTATTAAAGGAGTCACTTCTCCTCCCAAGGCAGATATTGCAGTTTGGTTCCCAACTTGGATGACTTACAACAGCACTGCCAGAGATTAGTGTTCTGAACCCAATATCAAGGCTGTATCCAAGTATCTGTCTGCCCAAAATCAAATGTGATGAAATGCCCTCAGAAAATTTTGAACAGTTAGAAACTCGTAGTTCAGATGTCTTGGACACCATGTCTGGATATGAACTGTTGCAGGAGAGACAGACAAAGCCATAAGTATCATGGTCAAGCTGACGGCTTCGCCACAAGCAACAGATGACTAACAAAATGGCCCTTTGGCAATAAATAATGCATTATTATTCTGACAGACAGACAGGAAGAGAGACAGATTGAAACAGTAAGGAGGTATGACAAAAGACAGAGCCTTGTAGTATCACAGTATAAACTGTACAGGGAAAATAAAAAAGGTAAAATGGAGCTGGATTCCCTGTGTATAACACCATTTAAACTCTATTTTATACTGCTTCTTAGGAAATATCCTTTTGTGTACAGTTGTTAAGAATTAAGAATCGATAAAGACTATACTCAAGTATATATTGACAGACAAGAACCACATTTTACTTTCACTTTAGACTTGACTTGATAAAACAAAAAAAGACCTTCAACTCAACTTTAAGTTTAATACCAATAATTTGGACTTGAACTTTCTGACTTGAAAATACTTGATACCTTCCCCCAAGCACAATGATTATAAAGTAGGCTATGTTATTTAAAAGTGCCATGAATCAATTCATATTGATTAAGTAAGTGAGTAACTTTATTCTATAACCTATTTATTGTTTTTTTTTTTTACATGCATCTTTTTATTTCATGTAGACATAACAACATACAATACAGAAAATGTCTTTAAAGTTTCTAAAGTTATAGACATTGTTACAGTATGAGAAACATCCAAAATTCACTCCATTGTGGTACTGGTTAATAGTGCTATGCCAGCACTACTTTCTTTTATAATTAAGTTCAGTCGCACATATACTCTGTGTAAATTTAATAAATTATCACTCTGTTGTCACAATGGCATTAAATTTGGTGTAGAGTGCATTATGTCTTGTTTAGGACTTGAAACTCAAAGTCCAGGACTTGGGACTTGAGAGCAAAGGCTTGAGGCTTACTTGTGATTTGGTCCCACCTCTGTTATTTACTTCATAGGCATTTGTAGTCCATGTTTAATTAATTAATAATTCATAATATATTAACTAATGTCTTCTGAAAAGCCTGTAGTTTGCACAGAATTACTAGAATTTGAACGTTGTTTGGCCATGTGTTGAATGACAGCTGTCAAAGGCACAATTATATAATTTTGTTCTTTTACACTGTATAGGTTTTTGTGGTAAAATAAGACAATCCTGATGCAGACTATGAGTTGCTGTCAGCCAACTCTCAGTGTCCTGGGCTGAGATCTGTGTCACAGCCTCTTTAAAAATCAATACGTTGGGGAATTTATGATTCAAATGATTTACTTGTCATGCTGTAAAAAAGCCCATCAATTGTTTAAATACTGCTTTCACAATGGAAAAAAAACATGCATCTTGTATTTCATGAGCTTTTAATGAATAATCAGTGATTAATCAAGGACCAGTGAAATTTGAGTAAAATTTGAACAATGCTCTTTCATGGGTTAATGCACAGGTTAATAGTGAAACAACAGTGTGTGGAGGAAGCAAAAATAGCTCAGTGTTCCTTTTAAACAGAGCTGTGTGGTGCATCTAAGAGTCTCTGCTCATTTTGCTGGTAAATTAACTCCAAATGAGGCGGCCCCTCAGAGAATGAGTATAGAGGATGAGGAGCGTTAGCAGCCGCAGGAGGAGATGAAAACGAGCAGGAGTTTTTAATCTATAAAGTGATTTCTACGGTGAACAGCTGCATTAAGGCAGTTTTTATTTCCGCATCTGAGGTGTTGCTTTCGAAACTGAATTAGACTTATTGATCAATCTAATTTGAGTACTGAAATCTAATTCAATTCAAATCTCAGGCTGAGAATTAATAAGGCATTGTAACCTGCAAGGTGTTATTGTTAGCAAGAACTCATTGACATGGAATTACAAGAGCTAATGAGCTAAACCCTCACCAATAAGAAAGAGATTGCAAGATATTGTACTGAGTAACACTCAAAGCTCTGTAGTTGCTTTCAAAGCCCATGACATCTCAGAAAGGTTGGTGGTTTCACTGGCTTCATAGAGTATGCACATTTAGCATCTATAGCACAAATCAGATGCATCCTCAAGAGACTGCATGTACACAGTGGCATGATTAAATAATGTTAAAATTATGCTAAAGTATTTCATGTTTTTTTCATTTACCAGCATCTTTATTTTATTTGCCATAAAACAATGTAGAAAAAAACATAACAGACATTCTGTCAGTTCTATTTTCATTTCTTCTTCATCTCTTTTAGCATAGCTATTTTTCAGCTCCTGTGCAGATAAATAACTTATGTTTTGCCATTCAGATGCGTCAGATCATCCTTTAGAAGTATCTAATCCTCCTTAACGCAGATCAAACTCAGATTAGTAAACAGACAGAGCAGGTTTACTGAAATGAAGGAACACAGCGGGTGTGTTTGCTCACAGCTTTTGCCATCAAACACACCAAGGAAACAGCAACCTGCAGGCTGTACTTCCTGCAGTCTCCCAGGTGGTGAAAATCATCCAGATCCTCTGTTGTGTATCACAGCCCTTCCATTCAATTCTTGTCTCTGGTACCAGCCAACTCTGAGCCATGTTTTCACATGGCTATGTTTTTATTTGAACTTTCCTGTCAATTCTTCTGGTGACAAGTCAACCTTTTGCAAAGTGTGTGATGCACATATCTAAAACACCTGCAACTAATGTACCTAAAACACAAGAGAAAGGAGGCAGTAACCACTTTATCTGTATGTATGTTTGTCATTCATTCACCCGGAGGTGTGAATCCAACTGAGACTTTCTTTGATGTTATGTCCAGCAGGGAAGTGAATCAGGAGATGAGCAGGGCTGCTGCAACACATTGGAACAGAAACAGGATGGGAGCCTCGTTTTACAGTTTATTTTATCTGCACAACTGACTAAAACACTGGGGTATAAAAAAATAAAAAATGCAAGAAGACAAGAACGAAGCAATAAGTTATTGATGTTAAACTGCTAAATTTTATATGTGAATACCGGGGAGTTTGGCTGAGGAAGAGATGGGATCAATGAAAGATTACACTGGCCTAGCTGACATGTTACAGGCCTGTAACAGTAACATCCTGTCCCTTGATGGTCATTCAAATATGATAATGTCACACTTACTTTACTTTAGAACACCTTATCTTCAGTATATTCTCTTTAAACACAGTTTGCGATGTCAGCATCCTCGGTTTCAAAATGTAAAGATCTGGGTGAAGCTACCTCAGAGGTGTGTGTGAGGGCAGTGCATGTGCACAACTCCAAACTGCACTAGTGAAGAGTCTAATGGAAGGCTGTAGTAGCTTTGGATGCACCTGTACTCTATAAATATCGAAAAGGTCAAGCTGGAAAAAAAAGACCATTTCTAAAAGTGCAAATCCATCTCAAGCTATGCACTCGTGTCCAAACCACTGTGGTTTAGACCAGTTAGTGTTCTTTTGAGGAACGACTGGCAGCTATGGCATGAGCTGTGATGTGGTTTAACGCTGGGTGTGTGTGAGACGCGTATGATAAGTGACTGCTCGAAAACTACAATGGTGGCTTCTAAAGATGTTTTTGTAGATGCTGCTAGCATCAGTTATTTCAGAACTGAAAAGTATTTTTCATTGAAAGAAGAGAAAAGAACTGCACTGAAGGTTTTTCTCAGTGGAAACATTTTTGTATATGGTTTGTTGATCTGATTGTTTGAAGTTTGCTTGTGATAAATGGTAATATATGCTAACAACACATTATATACTGTGTTATTACATAATGTGTTGTTACAGCGAGTTCCTAGATGGTTTTGTGCAACAAACCATCTACTGCAATCAGGTTACCATTTATGGTATACCATGGGCTGCAGAAATAAAACACTCAAGGGTTCATTGACAGTAGACACTGTTGCATACGCTAACTGTACTAGCTGCTGCCACTTGCTAGTTAGCGCTCCTATTGGGATGGGGGGAGTTATTAGCGTAGGAGCAGGGTACCCAGCGGAGAATACTGCTAAGGAGCGGTGCCGGAATGAGTGACAGAACCAGAGAGGAGCAAACCAACAGAGGCCAGCTGATTTACAGCGGCTATGAACAGGATTATGAGTCTGTGGGGAAAACACAGCGGGTTCAGACAGTTACAGGAGAGGCATCAAACGGACGAAGAGGAGCAGGTTTGTAGCGAGTTAATTTGTAAGTAACTAATAACATAATACATCCTCCATCATATTGATAAGTCCTCCAGTATTTGTTTTTGTGAAGTTGGCAGTTATTTATTCCGTGTTTTGAATGAGACTTGTGTGATGATTGTGTTGAAATAAATTAACTAAACATTCAAATGCTGGTTGCTCTGACACGTTCAAAATCATAACCACTTTTTCTGTTATTGTTCAACAAGTGGCTGTTAAAATCTACATATTTAAATACTTACATTAATGTTGACTATTGGCTTTATTTAACGACTACTAGTCGACTAGGAAAATCTTTAGTTGTGGGCACCCCTAGATCTAACTGTGTTGGCCCAGTAATAAAAGTATCAAGTAACGATGCCGTCCAAAGTCCACTTCTTTCTATGTGGAAAGGGATGTATATTCGTCGTAAATTGACCCACCTCCTTCTTACCCTGGCTATTTCCAGATGATCGTCACTGTGAATGATGTATGTGCAGAGTTTGACTCTAGAAGGATGTTTTCACTTCATCTACTGAAGGTGGAAAGTTTCTCTGTGCTCATTGACAATCTCATTTTAAGGGACGGGGCCTAATAGAAATGATTTTTGACATCACAAATAGTTTGAAAGTGAATCCTGGTCCAGTATGCAACTTCTACAAGTGTGATGTACAAACTTGAAGCCACCAGCTCACATCCACTGAGAATGGACTGAATCAGATCTTGTGTCCTGCAGGAAAACTTTAGAAATGAAAAAATTGCATATTCATAGATTCTGTCATTTTTAATGAGGTAGAAGAAGTAAATTAAGGATTTTAATGTGGAAATTAAACTTTTTTGTGGAACACATCAGACACACCATATTATTACAAGGAGACATTTGTATATTAATATATGTCTAGAGGGGACCTTTAACCAAAAATCATTACAGACTCACCTTCTCTCCGGTTCAGCTTGGCAAAGCCTGGCCCATGGCTGCCAGACAACTGGGAGGAGCTTCTGAAGGACGATGGCAGTAGATTGGATACCAGCGGACTGTGACACACTTCTGTGAACCACAGAACAGAAAGAACAGACCATTTAAAATCACAACATAATTAGGAGAAAACAAGTTACCCCTGGCCAAGCACCGTTGTGGTCCTTCCTTCCATCCTCAGTCGTCTTACAGTAAGAATGCCCTCTTCGATTTCAGTGCTGAAAATGTCAATATCTAAGATTTATGGAGCCTAATCCTCAATTATGAGGCCTTGTATCAGCCTTGTGTAAACATCTTTTTGACTATAATGAGACGCTGCTCGATAAAAAATGCATTGTGTCCTAACTGCCTGACAGATCATACACATTAGACAAACTGGCCACTGAGTGGATCAGTGATGATAGAACAATCTTGTACCCTGTACACTCTGATGGTCACAGACTTTGATACTGCGTGCTGTAACACAATACACATTAGCATTTTTTACCTGACTGACAGACATAGGCTTTATTCCTGATACCTGACAGTACATTATAACATATTTTGTTCATTTTGTTTGCTTTGTAAAGTTAATTTGTATTACATTTAAAATTTTGGTGAACAAGATAAGTACTTAAACAAGTTTCATGGTCAGTTCATACTTGTAGGCTACACAGACATTAATACACTTAGGAGCATTCATGTTTGATTCAATTAATTAAATTAGTAAAATGTTTTGAATACACCGTTCTGAAAATGTAAATGACCTGGTGGAGCCTTCTGTTGAATTCCCCCTTCTGCTAATGGATGTTTCCTCTGTCGCTGAGAGCCAAATATCTCCGAGAGCTGAGATATCTCTTGGTGAGATTATATTAATGAAGGATCTTGAGCTGTCTTTACTTTGTTTAGTTGAGATTTAATCAGACTTGGCCTCACTGCTTTCATATTGGATTTTTGCCCGTTAAGGGAATTTACACAGAGAGTTTGACTTTGGTCTCTCTTTCATGGGCCTTTGGTTTCATCTCACTTTTGTTAATTGTTGTCTGTTGTTTGCACAATGCTACATTGCTACAGAAACTTAGCCATGCACCCTAACATTAAGATTATCATGAGTTAAAAAAGTATTCACTGAAAATGAAAACTTAGCCATTCACATATACAGGATTTAAAAAGTAAAAATTCTTGTTAACAATCTGTTGTAAATATTTTATGGTATTTAAAAGTTTACACGACACCCTCATGAATTATTTTGACAGTGAAAAAATAAAAGACAATGCTATAAAAACACACAAAAACACTGAGACTGAAATGTGCAACATTTATGCAACAAAAGCTTACACATTTGCAGTTCTGAGTCTGTAGCCTTGTATTTAATATGTTAATATCCCGCTCTGAAAGCTCCATGTCAACATCTGTGCACTTCATCCCCAAATTAAAAAACTGTTGGCAGTTGGTTCAGAGGAACAACTGTGGATACTAAAGAGAATATTTGATTATAAAATGCCAAGCCTATACTTGAAAGATTTTCTTTAGCTGTGTGCAGAAAATTAAAGTTATTGAATGCAGAAAAACATCTTTTAAAGTTTGAATTTTAGGTGTGTGCTAGATTTAGGTTGATCAATTAACAGCCTCTGTAACTGTGACAACTGTTGGTTTTCAATCTGTCTTTGGGATTCCACATTTTTTCCCATGTGCCAAGGTGCCATCTTATACATATTTATCAGCCTCTTAACCTCCAGGTTTTTATTCATCTCCCTGCCTTTGCATTCTTTGGTTGTGAAAATGAGGTGTAGACACTAAATGCAAGACCACGTATAGTAAGGATCCATGACCTGAGAAAAGTTTGAGCTTAACACCATCTCTTCCTGTAAACATAATAAACTTGGGGCGCCTGGATGGCTCACCTGGTGGAGCTGGCACCCCACGTACCAGGGCTGAGTCCATGCTGCAACGGTCCAGGGTTTGGATCCGACCTGCAGCCCTTTGCTGCGTGCCACCCTCTCTCTCCCCCTTTCCGTTCTCTCTTCAGCTGTACTATCGATATAGGCAATAAAAGCCCCCCCAAAATACATTCCAGAGAATTACAGAATTGGTTATTTATTAAAAAAAAAAAAAAACATATTTTAGTTTTGAATTTTTACAATTTTACACATATTTGCCTGTAGCAGGAAGATCCAAAGGGCAAGTTTGTTTTGTCATAACTGACTCAAAGGCTCATGGCAAATAAAGAGAGAGACACCAATAATGCATCTAAATTAACATATTTATTTACAAAAACATAAAATAAATTGTATAAATATGTCAGTGACTGGATGAGTGGGAAATATGTGCACTTAGTGGTGAAAAATAACAGGCCTTAACAAAGCACACAGATTAAAGTGCAGCTTTTATTGTGACTGGGAACATTGGGCCCAGGTGCTCCCAGTCAGCCCAATGGGAATGGCCCTACTAACCAATTTTGTGTTTTATCTGTGCCTTGCATATAAAAACTGAGCAATTTTCTGCATGGTTATATTAACAACAAAAATATAACCTCTATAGCCCAACACTGAGTACAGCCAACACCCCCATGACTGACCTAATTTTTCTCCTTCAGTGGTTAAAGTTGCTTCAATAATTAATACAACAAACGTACAAATTATTTCACAAGACAAGAAAATGGTCTTTATCACTGTAACAGCCATAAATTATATTTTGACCCAGCAATAATTTTAGAACCTGAAGGGCAAGACCTCCCTCTGGCCCAGTGGTTGAAAGACACAGGGGAGATTGTAGGAGAACATTTCAAAAGTAGTGGAATTATTGCAGTTCATGTGGGAGATGCTGAGGACTTACAAAACTAATTTTCTTCACATGAGTTTGGGTCACTGACTGAAACCAGTGGGGTACAAAGTCACACATTAGCAGGAAGTGGACAAACTGTTGAGTACAAGTTGGACTCCCAACTGCAAAACAACAACCCCGAATGTAGTGAATGAATCCTGTGAAACATTAAAATAATAGATCTCTCTGCCTTACCCTAGAGGCTTTAGGCTTTATAGAGGTCTTCCTTTCAGGGTCTCATTCCTAAATGTTGCAAATGAGAAATTATTATGAATTATTAACTATTTTAATCAGAAGTTGTATATTTGAGTCACTCCTAATGGTTAACAGAGATCTGGCATTTGCAAAGTCAAATAATTTAGTGGTCAGAGTAAGACAGTTATTTTTCCATTAGCCAGGTTTAAAATACAGGTTTTTGTATGTTGAGAGTTCACCAGTCCTTGCTTCGTATGTGTATTATGCCCTATCGAGCATTTCCCATTTATAGTCAAGGATGGATGTAGGTAGGTTGTAAACTCATTGTTACAATGTCATGCTAGCTTATATATGGACATAACTGGACATAATCTAGTAAAATTAATCTTTAAAGGTGAATTTGTATGTGACACTGATCCTTGCATTTCCAAAATGTTTAGTTTGTCATCTATCAGCTCTGGCTTGAACTAACATGACACTTGTAGAAACTGCAGATAGCAATTTTATCGCTAACTGGCTACATGAAATTAGCAGGACATTTCCTGCAGTCTGACTGCTGCACAAATTAAGAGGACAGACACACTCACTTTGGTTATTATTGTATTTGTGACATTAGCATGTATCCAAATCCTGTAGTTTGTTCAAAACAAAACAGGATATAACAGTATAGTCATATTAGAGATGACTACATGTATACGGACAAAGCTTCACTCATAATAAATTATAGTACAATACAGGATTTAATTAAGTATTATTGATCAGCCACATTTGTAAATAAACAACATCTCAACACAAAATTGCACAATATTAAAAGCGTAATACTGTGATACATTTTCTATCCAAAGTCATCAGTCTGCAACTCTATCAGCTATGATGAAGTCACACACTGAAACTCGGAAACATGTCAAACTGATCACCAGTGTTTTGATCACAAAGTCTGAGAAACGTTTGTACTCTCCACTTGACAGCCTTAAACACAGTAACAGCGTGAACTGTCTTACCTTAAAACAGGAATTTCTTCCTGCACTTTCAGTGCAGAAACATTCTTGGGAAAATTAACATTTTCCACCCAGTTTCCATTAGTTTTGTTATTCATGTAGGTAGTTGAAAGCACAAAACAACTCTCCGTGTTCATCTTAGTTATTCAGGTTTGTTTTCTTCCCCCTATGTGCTAGCACATCTCACTGATCACATTGCTCAGTCACCTGCTGTGTATAACCATGTTTGGTTATACTCAGTAGTTGACTTCAGGTCTTGCTGTTGCTTGCACCCAGAATAGTATCCAACACAGACCATGCAGTCCTCTGTGAAACCCACGGGGCTGTTGGTTAGCAGTGTTGGCTCTGTTTAGATTTGTTTTCCTCTGACTTTTTTCAAGCGCACCAACATAGCAGTTTTTCACATTCATGTGCCAGTTCTAGCACACTTTTAACACACTGTTGAGGCATTTTGGAGGCACATAGCGAATTGAGTGTTATGGCTGCTAAAAGAGTGTTAGCTTAACAGCCTGTGGTCTAAACAAAGACATTGTGAATCATTAGTCTTTCACACTTTGTCAGCTCTCACATCCACCTAAAGTGAACTTCACCAATGCCATCTCATGCATCCCCTCATCTCTCCATCTATAGCATCCGCTTTACCAGGTTGCTGAAATAGAACAGTATCTACAACATGATCAAATCAGGCTGATGAGCATCTTCCTCCACTTCAATAACCAACAACAAATAGGATATTTACAGGTTCAGAGCTCCTTAAGGGTCCTGGACACATCTGCATGTCTCACAGTGATGTTACCATTAAGCCATGCATCTCTGAGCACAGTAATCACACAAAGACGTGTTTGACCAAGAAGAGCCAAGGCTGCTCTTCCTTCCAATTAAATTTGCATATTTGTTCTAAAAATGCCAATGATAGACATGGCAGAGTCTGTTTCTATGAAATCTGAAGTAATATATACAGTAATGAAATGAAATGTATTTTCCCTGCCAGTGATGCAGTCATTAAAGTTTAAATGTAATTTAAGGATAAAATAAGAAGGAGAGAGAGCGCTTTAATAGTGCATGCAATGTACATTT